GAAGGTCGAGTTCAGGACCGGGGACATTGGCCTTCGAGAAAGTTGACGAAGATTTAGAAGTTTGACGATGAAGACGACAAGTTCAAATGAAATTGCGGCTCCAAGTGCGAAGACTAGTTTCATGCATTTCGGAGTGTTCGTTGTACAAGGAGAGGGAAGTATACATGACTGAGCTGGGAAAAAAAGATGGACGGTACAGGGAGATATTTGAGGCATGGGATAGCCAGGACAAGACGGTATTGTACTCGGGCATAGGAAGTGGTTTGAAAAGGCGGGAAGTGATATCGATAGGATAGATAGACGAGGGAAGACATTTTTGAGCCACCTGTGGCAACTTAGGAAGGAACGATTGGCGATCGGTGATCGGTCGCTTGGTAGATGGTATAACCGCTAAGGCATGCAAAATATGAGAGTACCCCCCCCCCCCCCCCCCCCCCCCCCCCCCCCCCCCCCCCCCCCCCCCCCCCCCCCCCCCCCCCCCCCCCCCCNGTTTAGAAGCTCTATTTTGTGTCTGCTAGAAAATAAGAAGGCTTCAAGGGGAAACCGGAGCTCGGCCGACTGGGGGCGCGGCGGGTCGACACTCTTCTTCACACTCTTCCAAGCGTTTTTTGTGTTGTTGCACCCGTCAGTAGAAATCCCACAAATTCGATGATTTTGTTTTGTTCCCTACCACTTGCAGGCGGGAGGAGGAGTTGAGCCTGGGAATATCGCCACCAGAATCAGGCATTTTACCGCGCCGTCGCCAAAAGAACGAAGGAATCAATCGCCTTTGAGAGACATTGGGTAGATGTGACCTTTTTTTACAGGCCGTCTACGTACAATTGTTTATTTCATGTATGCCAGAGATAACGTGTAGAAGAGACAGGGTCGTTCTTCGCCGTCGACGGAATTTTCGTACGGGGGTTGCCAACAACGCTGCCTGGCTAAATAGATACACACGAGACATCGTCCTGTGGGTCTCTTCATGGCTTGTCATTTCGGTAGAATCCCGTGATTCTCTCTCTTGATTTTCTTGGACGCCGGTATTTACCGTTCTGTGGACCGTTTGTGCCTAGTACCCAGATACCGTTTTCCTTCCTCTACTCCCGCTCTCCTTGTATCTTCGCTCTTCCCGCTCCAACGCACCCCGTCACCTGAATCCGTATTATGCCACCTGTCTCGTACTGACTTCGTCACCAACTGCGTGCTCTGAGCTTCGCTGCACCCGAGACCCAACCAAGTGTGTGTGTTCATTGATCTCCGAACGAATCCCGTGGGACAAACACGTTCGTTGAAATCATTGATGCACACAGGACATGCATAGCGGTTACGCAATTGCCGAGGTTTCCCTATTCTCTGTTTGGTTGGATTTATGTCAACACCATTGACTGGGCATGTCATGTAGTAGCACGGCATCGTGGAGCAGGGCGGGACGCTCGCTTGGGTGCCGCATGTGGCAAGCGCGGTTTTCCGCTCCCAAAAAACTATTGTATTCGCTTATGTAGAGACAGTCTCCTCGGTGGATCTCGCTCCTTTCAGCCTCCGCATGGAACCAGACTCATTGCATTACAGCAGTGCTCCAAATTTCTTTGTTTCTCGTGATTACATTCTACATTGATCTTGCATCCCCGGATGGACCCTTGTGTTTGTTTTTGTGATATGGCAAAAGTCCTGAGTACAACGGGGAAACGGAGAGAGCGCTAGGAACACTACTTGAGCAGTTCTTCTGTTTCTCAACGAACCCGATGTGTTCGGTCTGCGAGAACAATCTTGCTTTTTGCTTTCAGGCATCAACTCACTCAATTAAGTTCCGGTGCAGATAGTTTCCGCAACAGCCACCTTGGTCACCCTTAAGTCATGTTACTGATACAAAGGGAGAACGTCGAAATACAAGGACGGGGGATTTTCACGTCATTCCCGGGGGAATGCGACCTATGATTTGGCTTGCCGAATACGGACGTGTGCGCTGAAACCTGCGGACTGAGGAAACATGATTGTTTACTACGCGGCATGCGCCAGACTTTGTGCGTTTGGCAAAAACGGAAAACGCCGAACTGGCGGAACGCACTAGAAGTCCTATGTTGTTGTGGATGGAGAACATACATTTTGCACCTACCCTTCCATAGGTCACCTTGCGTCGGGGTATTTTTGTGCTGTATCTCGCCTGCTCGACAAAGCCTCCCGGTTACTACTTGTGCCACGGCGGACTCAAATCCGGGGCAATGATGCTGCTTGCTGTTTGGCAGGTGCGCTGTATTTGACCGAGGGGTCGGACGTCGTCATGGATGACGTCATCGCGTCGTTCATGAATAATCCTGCATTCGCGAACGGAGGTAAGATCTGGATGGCAAGGGTCTTGACGCTCCGCGCTCACACGTCGGTTTTCGTTTCTTGCTGCTGAAGTGGCAACAATCACGCCCTCGACATTTGTCTTCCCCTAACCGGTGTTTGACCGCTACCATTCCCCTTAAAAATCAACTCCTGATTAGTTTCTGCTGCATTGGTTTCTCAGTATGGTCGTGAGTCACCGGGACCCCGGGGCGTTTTTCCTAAGAAAAATATTCACGTAGTAACACCTGTAGGTCCTGGAAGAATCGTCTAGTTCACCAAGTTGCAGTAGTCCAGAAACAACACAGAACGCAAGGGGATTGAGCAAAGGAAGTCCCGAAACAAAAGCAAAGACGCCAGTCGTCGTTGCGACGAGAAAGAAAACTGACGAGCACGAAGTAATAGGGTACACGGTGTGCGATTGACTGCTACGACAATGACACATTGTCCATCCTCTTGACACCCTCACACCCTTCCTTGTGAAGGTTTACTAGTACAGGGATGCGTCACCATAATTAATCAAGAACCTGCTTGAAAAGATCAAACTCAAATACTCACTAAAGCGTCGCTGCTGGGCTATCCTATAGTCTAGGGGAAATAAAATCGAGCATAAGAGGTTCTTTAAAAAGGCCACTTGTTACGCTGTCTCTTTTTGGGCTGTCCCTTTTCTCAAAAAGGGACAACTGACCAAAAACCACTTGTTACGTGGTCTTTTTTTGCGTTTTTGAACCTCCGAAAAGGGACAGCGAAAAAAGATCACCCCATCCTGTCCCTTTTTGGGCAACTTTGTCCCTTTTTGAGGAAAGGGACAGCCCAAAAAGAGACAGCGTAACAAGTAAGCATCTTATCGTGGACCCCTGATACCATTTTCGCGCAACCTCTCATCGAACCTGTCAATAAGGTCTGTACTACAGAGCAGACATCGCCCCTCCTGGGTACACCAAGCGCGACAGACACATGTGGTGTAATGGCAACATCTAACCTTCGATTCTCTGTATGTGTGTTTTTCTTTTTTCAAGCAAGCTTGTTTGAGAGTCATCTTGCGAGACCCGCTCTTGTTCCTAACCATGCATGCAGTTGTATGTTTTTACACGGCAAAGTGCCGGGGCAGCCTTCTCGGCTTTTCTTTGGTTGCTCACGCTGTTTGCCTTGCCGGACAGCAAACGCAGGGACCATAGCAGCGGCGGACGGCTCTGCTTTGACCATCAGCGGCCCAACATCGTTTGTAAACAACACAGCGGAGGGCAACGGAGGTGAGGACTCACCCGGCAGTTGCATCGACACTGCCAAGGGGCAAGAGAGACGAAGAAGAGCTAAACGAGCGTGAAGAGGCGATTTAAAAAAATATTTTGTAGAGGTCATGATCCGGTGCCATGCGTTACTCCTGATATGTATGCTTCTCCAAAGAGTTACAACGAGAAATTTGCGAGGGCGACTGGATTGGGACGTTAGGCGTGTGAGCGGGCACGACAATCAGTTTTGCGAATCGAAACTTTTCGCCCAGACGCTGTGGTTCGCCGGCTGTGACGATACATATTAAATTTCATGCCATGGGCATGTTCCAAGTATGGACGTACATCTTTCAGCACTAAATTCTATTGCGAAATGTATCTCTGACTTGCCGTATGAAACTGCTTGTTAGTTTGATTGGCAAGGCGCCGTCGCCATGTTCGAGTCGGTGATCGCAACAGGACACGGGACAACCTTCACCGGCAATGAGGCCTATACGGGAGCAGGGGGAGGGATATATTAGTCTGTGTCTAGTACCTCTATCAACGGTTCAGTGTTCACGGCAAACCAGGCGGTCTGGGGCGGAGGTCGGTGCCAGTTTATCTCCGGGAAACATACTACACATGTACAGATATATAGTCTGAATAGGGCCCTGATGTTTGCCTCTACGAGGGTGGCGATGAAAAAACCAAGAGCAAACTGTGTTCAAAATAATCTTGAAAGATGGTAAACAGAAGATCTACGTCGTCTTCGTTGCTGCAAGTGCCATATTCTCCTGCAACAATAGCAGTGAGGAATACGCCGTTACGGGTGCGAAGACGGCTAAGGCAATGCCCATGCGTTGAAAACGGCGCGGCCGTGAATCATCGATCAAAGTGTTTGGGCGTCAGTTCGCGATTGAGAGATCATGTAGCTTGTACTTGCTCGACGAAGGTGTGACAGACTAACTAGTCAGTTTGTGCGATTATGTCCTCGTCAGCATGAGTACCTTGGACACCACACTTAAAAACCCCTAACCCCCCCCCACTACGCTACGAACTTTTGTTGGATGCTAAACAAAATGGAGATAAGGCATGGCTCTGTTTTCATCAGGTGTGAAAACCTGGATATAGGTATCTTCCTAACGGTACTGACGCACATACAACCAGTGAAGATCTGAGACCCTACGAACACAGTTCGACAGGTCTGCAGATGTTTACAAAGAAAGAACCTCCGCCTGCTGTGACCAGCCGGAGCATGAAAGAGCCCATCAAGGCTCACTCTCGCTTTCACCTTTCTAGCACGGCCGAACCACATCGGCCACGCTTGGCACATCCTCGCCACATTGCAATAAAAAAGCGAAATTACCTCCGTTGGTGAACGGTTATTCACCACTTCAGGGACCTTTACTCACAACGGAGTAAGGGTATTCTCATTGGCGTCGACGAAGAGATCAAACTGATCGCGGGGGATACAGCACAAAAATGCCGAATCCCGGGAAGAAGACACCCAACCCGATTGAGAAACTACAGCAGGGAAAAAAACCTCCCTCTGGAACGGGGAAGAATTCTTCCTCAGGAAAGGGAAGAAAACCTCCTTCCCAGTCGGGTGAAGATGGTTTTATCACCGTCGGCGGCAGGAAGTGGGACAAGCCACGGCAGCAGAAAGCTGCAGCCGCTGAGCAACCCGACTCCGGCGGCAAAGCTGCGAAATCAGCAGCGGCAGCAAAGGTGCGGCCCAACACCCAAGACCCGAAAACGAGTCAGGGCGAGAACTCATCCAGCAGCGATGAGGAGGCTGACGACGACTCGGACTCACAGAGCCGCCAAGTCAACGACCACGACAACGACAGTAGCGACGAGGAGGGCCAGCTGAGCGAAGCAGAATCGCGCGGCGTGGCAGGCGACATCCTCGGAGCCCACGTGGAAGAGGGAGCTTTTGGAGGTAGCCGCCTTCAAAAAGGCAGCAATCTCGAAAAGTTCGTTCTTCGGGAGCTGGAGACAGCAGTGCGTGAGGGCAGCAACCCTCACCCTGTCGTGCTCCAACTTGCGCTGGGAACGTCTGCCCTGCATCCGGGCATCGCACAGGTGAACCCTCGCCGTCTTAGCAGTGAGTTGGTGCCAGAAAACTTGACCGCACACAGCGCAATTGTCAACAACGCCCGCAGCGCAGAAAGTCGAACCCCGCAATCTGGTCACAAGTACAGATGGCAGATTCTTCGATAGCTCTGTTGGCAGATACCCCGAACAACGGAGGGGCACACACAAGTCTTGGCATTCCGTATGCCGCAGTCAAAACAAATGATGACACGCAGCAGCACAACCCGATACAGCAGGCAAACGCACGGAGTAAGGGTATTCTCACAGGCCCGGTTTAGAATGTAGAAACTCCAGACGACTCGGGACCCGCGAACACGACCACGTGTGTCTTCGAACGGAACAGCGCCGAAGACGGCGGTGCCATTTACAGCGCCGCAGACTACGACATGATCAGCGATTCTTCGAGGACAACATAGCAGGTAAGGAACCAAGCACAAGATCGAGTGGTAAATCCTCACGCAAAGAAAAAGGAAATGGTTCAAGCTCATCTATAAAAGTCCTCAACAGAGAAGCAGTTTAGTTCTTGGAGAGGGACGAACGAACGACGGAACAGAGGCTGGCAGAGACACTCGTCCATCCTTTTGTTCCAAGAGAGCTCCAGACACACGTTGTAGATGATTGTCGGTGTAGTTTACCTCGCGGCATGCCACTAAGCTCTTGGCGTGCTCTGTGGCTCACGCTGGCTTGGGTGCCGCTTTCCCTTGTGCCAACAAGATACAAAAGAAACGCTACATTCTACAGTGTCAATGCACAGGAGGTGAAGATTGAATTGACTCCGTACAGCACTTTGGCCTGCCGTGAGTAACAGAACCTCTTTCTGTGCCTAACAGCCCGAGGAATAACCCGCTGCTGCCTTTTCGCCGTGAAATGGCACGCACGAGCTGTACAAGAATTGCGCGGAAACGAGGGGGTGATGCTCGTCGTGTTTACAGCTGTTGTTTCACAGATTAAACGAAGCCGAAAGCCTGCGTGCGTCCAAGAACAATGGCGACGAAGCGAAAGCGAACTACCTCTGAAGTACCACGCCACAATGCTCACCTAACCCTTTCTGATTGTTCCTGGTAAAAAACCGACGCAACCAATCTACCTTGATTGCATGTGGCAGTTGGATCGGGCGGGGCATACCTCCATTCCGGCCTCCTGGTTAGCTTGGCCGACACCACCTTCGTCGGAAACAGAGCCGGTGCCGCTGGGCTGGCCGTTTCAAGCCTCGGGATCATCGAGAATCTTACCGACACAACCTTCGAGTCCAACACATATTATTGCCAGTCTGGACAGTATGACATCGGTGCGGATGAAGACGAGGTAAATGAAAGTTGTCGAGGGACCAAATTTTTTACCCAGACCAGCATACCTTCTTTTGTGTTTTCGTCGAGCACACGTGTTTGTTTTGCAGCATGAAGCACTAGATGTGAATATTTTCGGCAGGAATCAATCTTTCTCCACGCTGTAGTCCTGTGGACAGTATTCACAGCACGTGTGAAGTTGTGGAAATCACTCGACCTGTGATTTCGCAGCAGTTCTTGCTGCTGTCTTTCGCCTTGCTAGCCATGCCCGTCAGGGATTGGACGTTCAGTGCATGGCCAACACCCTGCCTCGCTCGCGTCCCCGCTTGACAGGTTTCCGGAACCTATCGATTCGACGAAGTCTGTACATGCTGCGCTGTCTCAAATGCAGAGATACCGGAGAGTATGGTCGTCGCCAACAACGCCTTCGTGCCCATATGTGAAACGGTGCGTATGTCTAACAAACGCGGTGGGCACCGTTAGAGTCGCAAGGCGTGTTTCCATCGAGGGGAGTGCGAGACTTGTGTGTGTTTTTCCCACTGCAGCTATTACCACCTTCGTATGCCTTGTCATGCCGATGGAATTAGCGCTCCCAGCGGATAACTCTCGACAAAGACTCCCCTCAGGGAAGTATCGGGTGAGGGCCGTGTACAGGCCCTTCCCTGTTCAATATGACCGTCCGTCAATGGTTAGTGTAGATCGTTGAGTCATGGAGTATCACGCCGCAAGCCGCAAATGTCAAATATCATCAAAATGAGACTCATCTGGCTGTCTTTGACCCCTAACGACTCAGATCATGAAGGGAGCATCTGGAAACGCGGGCGCAACTGTTGCCGCACTAGAGTTGGATCCTGACTACTACCGCACGTCAGCCGATAGCAGGGAAGTCCTCCAATGTCACCAGGAGGAGGCATGCATGGGAGGCGTTGAAACCAGCGAGTATTGTGCATCGGGCTACGAAGGCGCATGTGAGACGGGCCAACCCCAACCAGATCGAGTAGGGTGGAGCTAAACCCTACGTAAACCCACACGCGACGGAGGATGTAAACAAGGACCCTGTTAGTGTTTTCTGCTGTTGGTGTGCTACTATTAATACCGACTACTTTCGTCTCGTGCACTTCGTGCACGTCGCTTGAAGTGGGACCGTTCGCGTTCTCCGAACTGTGTGTAGCTCGCGGCTATGGAAGGTGGTAGCTTTATATAGTTCATCTTCCATAGGGTCTCGGGGTATTTTCGACCAGTCATGGTCAAGGTCGTTGCTCTATGCAACGACCCATCGGTCTACTAAACTTTGACTTTCATATTTGGGTAACGTGCGTGACATTGCCCACATCTAACATTGACCGCCTGTCGGCACTGGATTACTCCGGGCTAAACTGTCGGTAGAGTTGGAACTTGATCATATCGTAAGCCAACCCGTCGTTCGATTTTGTTTTCCAAGACGGACAGTCATCAATAACACGATCCAAACACGCGTATGGTGGGCGTCGCAAACCCGTCCCTCCCTCATTCGCGTGCGTGCACACTGCTGTGCCGTGTGCGAGGAAGGCCATGCGACTGGATACCAGTACAGCTGCCCAAGTTGTGTCGGCACCAACAAGCAAAGCAATCCGCACTGGGTAAGCCCTTCCACACTGGGCACAAGCAGACGCCAGAACGAACCACAGCGGGTGGATGACGACGCACGCATCGAGCTTGTGGCAGTTCGGACGTGTAGGTCTACCCTTGATGGGCGCGAACATACGTTCCTCCTGTTCCGTCGCTGAAGTTGAAGTGTTTGCGGGTCCAATGTGATCGGTGCATGGGATGTGTTTCGATCTTGTGCGTCATTTGTTGGTGGTGGGCAGCTATTGTCAGAAATGAGCAGATGCTACTGTTTTTCGAAGAGTGGTTGTTCGGGTCAAACAAACGCCCCGCCCCCGTCCCCCATGGCGTTACGCTCGAACGGAACAGGCATAGCGATTGCTTTTCTCCTGGTGATTTCAGGGGGTGTTGCACTGGTGATCGCGGATCTCGTCAGGGTGGTGGATGACGACGACACTGGCACGGGATTAACATGTGGAAAGAAGCTCAATTCCCTCCGCGACCGAATCGCAAACGGCATACCTCTGACGTCGATCAAGATCGTCCTTGTGGCCTAGCAGATTGATACTCAGCTGAAAGAGTTGGGCAGCTTCGAGTGTCGTACTAGCTTCGATGCAATACGTTGTCGGGCTCTTGATGACGGTCGATTTTGCCTCGGCCTGAAGCGTGATCTGTGCTCTGGGGTATAGCTCGCAGTAATGTGTGTAACAGGTGGCTCCCGCTGTCGATCGATAGAGGCTCGAGTACTGTCGAAACGCTCTAACGAAGGTTTCCATCCCTTTCCCTTTCGTTTCTTCTCCGTACCGATGTATGGCACAGTTTCGTCGGTGGTGAACGTGGTGTATCCTGACGTCTACGAGAAGAGTCCTGTCCATTCTGAACCTGGTAAACTTCAACTTTGGTTTCATCTTGTCGGCCTATGCGTCGTGGACTCCAACTACTATGGCCGTCTCTTGTTCGCGACGATCGGGCCGCTGGTCGTGTTGGCAGCTCTGGCCCTGACGTACGCCGTTTCGAGGTCACGGAACCGCCATTCTCCTGCCGGGACACAAACCGCCAAACACAAGCACCTCTCGATCGCGCTGTTCATCATGTTCGTCGTCTACTCGTGGGTATCATTCAACATATTCCAAACCTTCGTTTGCGAGACGCTCGACGACGGAGTGGAGTACCTACGGGCGGACTACAGCCTGCTCTGCTCGACTGACACCCACACGGCGATGAAGGTGTACGCCGGCCTGATGATCTTTGTGTACCCTTTCGGCATCCCTGCCTTCTTCACGCTCTAGCTCGTTTCCAACCGACACGACCTCGTGAAGGTTGACGCCAATGGCGGTTCCACAGCAACCGCTAAATCTTTGGGCAACCTTCAGTCCATGCGAGATCTGTGGGCTCCCTACAAACCCCGCAGGTACTACTTCGAAGTGGTGGAGTGTGGTAGGCTAATTGCACTGACAGGTCTGGCCGGCTTTATATACCCCGGCAGCGCGGCGCAGGTAGCTCTGGAGGTGGTGTTCGCCGCGTTTTTCATCGGGATTTCCGATGCTCTGTCGCCCTTCGCGGACCCTTTAGATGCGTGGCTGTATCGCTCTGGCGCGTGGGTGATTTTCATCAGCATGTTCCTCACGCTTTAGCTGAAAGTTGACGCGTCGGACGAGGACAGTCAAAGCCAAGAGCTTTTCGCGAAGCTACTCATCTCGGCGCATGTCGGCATGGTGTTGGCGATAGCCGTCCAGGCCGTGCTCTCCGTGAAGGGCAGCCTTGTGGTTATGCGGGACCAACCGATTCCAATCCAAGGCTTCCGGCTCTCGAGCCTCGCAGAGGTTTGCGATTGGGAGAGTAATGCTGGCATCAAAGGGGCAGCACCATAGTCAGAAACGGATGAAACCGGTAGCAGGCGCACAATACTGGCGTGAGAGTCACTTTGATTAACGGGACGCCTTGACCCGAGGTTTCGCTGACGTCTGGATATCTTACCACCTCCTAACCCACTCTGTGATGCCGCTAAATAGGAGTTGGTTGTCTTCCGTCACCGTCAGAAGACCACCACGATCGAGCAATGTATGTGGAGACTCCCCTCAAGTGTCGTTGGGTTTTTGTGGTAAGCGTAAAAACCCTGGTTATGTCCTTGTTGCCTGCCATGCGGTGTGTAAGACTGGTGTCTGGTTCTGATTGCGCGTCGGTCTTCGTGGCATGACAAAGAAATGTGCTCGATCCCTTTGTACCTACGGCTATTATTATGTAGATATAATTCGGCGTGGCGTGGTGATTTGCCTCCGTGCATGAGTTCATCCTGGAAACTATGTTTTTAGCGGAGTGTTTCTTGTCCAATAATTTTCAAAGTAAATATTTTCGGATTCCGCGTGCACCACATCGCACACTCCGCGGGTAAAGGGGGTTGGCGTGCAGAAGCACACAGAAGTAGAAGGGAAAGGAAAGTTGAATATGATATGCTGCAGGCTGGGTGTATTTCGTGGGTTGTTGGTAAGGACTAAAGCATTTCCTTGGGCGGGGGCTTGCGAATGCTGGCGTTTGGGTACGATGGTGTCGTAGTTGTGCTGTGCTGCAAGCCGGGTAACCTCGTGGGTGTTTGGTAAGGACTAAAACATTTCCTTTTGGGGGGTTGCTTGTGGAGGTTTGCGTTTGGGCATCGTATGGGTACGATGGTGTCGTAGTTTTGGTACATGCTATGCTAACCACGTGGGAGTGGGTAGGACAATGATGTAGATAGGCTATTCCTATTTTGTCAGTATCATTAAGTGGGTGCTCTCTCGCGTCTTGTGTGAAGGGTCAGGTAGTCTAGAGGGATGGATGGTTGTGGAAGCCAGGTAATGGTCTGGAGGCCTGACGGATGAGTTTCCTTTGGACCAACAATTTTTACAAAGAATAACCCGAATGCTGCGAACATTCGGATGATTTCAAGATTGACGACGGGGAGTGGGATGTCCACAAAGGCGTACTCTCGTCATCTTCACCCATTCTTGAATATATGTAGTTTTATATATATACATGTAGCTTGTCCGAGAAACCTCGGCCACGCTTGGCATTCCTCTCCACACACCAAGACAAAAAACGAGCTTCCGCTGGTGGATGCTCTACGCACCACCCTTCACGGGGCTCTGGCTCGGTAGGGAAAGGGTATTCTCATCGGCGTCGACCATCGGCGCAGGTTCAGGTCCTGCCGACGACGCCAATGTCAGAAGAAGGAATCGTCATCGACAGACATTGAGGAGGTTGTACCCTTTTCGAAGGTGATATCTCCACGGGAGTTCTTTTCATTCTGTGTTTGTTGCCTTTTGACCAAGTACTACAATTCGTAGTTCCGGCGAGGGGCTGCAATTAACAGTTAATCTACGCCTATGATTTGCAAAGTTTCCAGCAGCGAGGGCGTGGCTGGATTTTTTTTCACGTGTTTCCAGCGGGGAGGGTGGACTTTTTCAATCACACGACAATTGATTGTGTGTGCATCGCAATTTCTGTAGTACGTGTATGTAGCCAGACGGTAAGTGCCTGACAGAGTTCAGAAGTACGTACTGTTGTAGACAAGATATGTGCCGCCCACTGCCTTTTCTTTCGTATCTCCCATAGACTAGAGACTATGACAAAAGTTCCAAACATACAGGCCGTCCGTAGAATTCTGCTACAACGGTAGGATCGATAGGCATGCGACAGAGCGCGCGGCAAGACCTTAACACCCGACCGCCGTTGAAACACGAGGTGTGTATGCTGTTTAGGTATGTAGGTGTTACCTCTCCTTTCGGCATTAAAGAAAGATTGAAGAGCGTCATATGCATACGTTTGAACAAAGGAGGTCGACCAAACCACCATACGACCCCTGGACCGATTTTCAAGCTCGATTACTCTGCAGCAACACAGTGACAAGTGCCGAAAATGGCGAAGTTGATACCGAAACCTTCATGAAAAACGAAGTTTATCATTCAGCTAAATATATATTTAGCACCCGTGTAAGAGTACTTCAGCTTGACCCACAGCGAGCGGCAGAATTTGCCCAAGCCGGGACACCCGCAGCGAACTCGACAAAGGTTCCCGCACTCGGAGTATGGCGGACTAGAATTGATGAGGGCAAAGGCTGCCCAGTTGATTGAGGGCGGGAATCTTTTTGCACTCGACAAACGAGCGGAGATGTAGCTGCTGCTGATGCTCGTCACATGTAGACTATGTGTGCTCTCATGTGTGGCCTTTCTCTCCTTCTGAACGATTGATTGTCTCAGTCGATTCCGGGTGCAGTATGTAGCAGCCTGATGCATCATGTCGGCCATGTTCGTGCTCCATGTTCGTGCTCCTTGAACGGTAGCCTACTCTCTCTCTCGGAGAGAGGCAGGGGCGGGAAGTGCGACAACCGCACAGCGCAGGATTGGCGAATCCGCGTGCAGGGGGCTCGTGGATGCGGACATGGCACATACTCTTGTTGCGCGAAGTTTCTGCCCCCCAATTCGTTGCTGGTTGCGCGAGAGAGACAGCTGACAGCCCATCCACCGACAGCTGACTGGACGGGGCCGGAGCAGGGAAAGCTACAAAGTGGGGAGAGGAGGCACAAGCGTGAGGAAGCCCCTGGGGTTATTGCACGGAAGGAGAGGTATGCTTGGTCGCGTGACCAAGTATAGGGTCAAGAACGATGCTCCATCCGAGGTGTTCGAGGCAGCCAGTGAGCAGGAACGAAAGGTGAGGCGGTGCTCCCAGCAGGCTATACGTGCCATGGATGGCGTTCGTGGTCAAAGATATTGACGGTGACGTTGTGTTGGCCGTTACTGCAACGAGTTCGGTGTTTTTGAAGTTGTCGTCTGGGTTTTCCACGGTGGACCTCATACTGCAGCAGTGCCATGTCCTGGCTCGGCCCCAACAGCGGCGTAAACAACCTGTATCGTGAGCGCTGTATCTCTCACCTATGATCACGTCAGAGTAGCTGGAGAGCCACGGCCCTGTGCAGATCGCGCAAGAGTTGGCCAACACAGATGATACCCTCTCCGTTCGCCATTTATTTCAAAAAAATTCAACTATTGGAACGCTGGGGCCCTATCCACCCCGCAGGCATATTCCCATACATGTCGGCATCACTGCCCTCATTCCTTCATTTTCAGTCATGTTCGCCAAGGCCGCCTCTTTAGCCTTACAAGTAGATACCCTGCCAAAACTGAAACTTTGAGCCTTACAACGAGCCCTGAAGTGAAGTGCAAGAAACTCTGAAAAAGATGGTCAAAAACAAGCAGAAACACGCGTCGGCACTCGGTGCTCGCCTCACACCTGTTGTAACCTTCGAGAGTGCATTTTGCTGCAAGCCTTTCTGAGCAAGTTGAGGGAGCTACAGTATATGACACAAGATAACACACCCCCTGGACCAATTTTCAATGCTCGATTACTCCACGACGAAGAGGATGCATAAACGAAACGATACATATTTTCAAAGCTCTCGACGAGACGGTTCCAACGCCGCCGTTTTCGGCGCCGTGACTCTTTCTGTTGTTGAGAAATCGAGATTTGAAAATAGGTCCAGGGGGTGTGTTATCTTGTGTCATCTACGGCATGTATTTTTCTAAATGGAAGAGTAAAGTGTGCGCAGAGAGTACCTCGGCTATGACCATTTCCAACTTGAAGTTCCTAATTGGATTCCCAACGAGCTCGGTCGAGTAAGATACGATTTGGAGGTCCTAGTCAAACCACCCGCGATGGACACGCATCGCTCCCCAAACTTGGGCCCGAGAAGTTATAATAGCAATGAAGCATTCCGCCGCCTGTAAGGTTGTGGTGTGAGGCGAGAGCACCGCGTGCCAAGGTGAGGCGATCGGGATTCGAATCGCCTTTCGCAGACTTTGCTGCTCCATGGTTGGGCTACGGAACGTTCCACGCCACCCCCAGATTCCAAGTCGGAGAAATTCGTACGCATGTCTTCCCAGCCGTTCAGGTGTAACCACCACCAGGAATTGTCCTCCGACGCCCCCCAATGCCTTTGTGCAGTTGCAATCTTTGACGTCTTGTCTGTCTTGAGGGCACCGTGGAGATTGAAGGACGGTTTTGGGGCCAACAGGCGGGGTGGAACACTGTTTTAGCCCGCTTCGACCATCACAGCGTATTAACGTTTCAGAATGGTTCGGGCAACTCTGCTGTCAGCCAGGATATGCGCCGCGCGAGAACATCCGCGCACCACGTGCTCACGCTTCCCACCCCACTGTTGTGGCCTTTCGCCCTTCAAATTGCAGGACCGACTCCTCCTCAGCTACGCCGAGCGCGTCGAGAAGACCCTGGACGTAAAGGCGGTGCGATCAGGTGGTGGACACAAGAACGAGCTGGTGTTCGACCTCGTTGGCGTCGACGCTTCCATCGCGAACGCTCTCCGAAGGATCTTGTTAGCAGAGGTGTGTAGTGTTTATCGGCTTTTCTCGCGACCTTTGTATGTGAAGGCGGTGTTACTACTGCCGCAGCTGCTGATGCTGCTGCTGCCACCTAGAGGCTGTTGTTAAAAGTCGGACGGTCTGGTAGCTAGAGATTACGGAAGATGGTTGGGATATCGTTGAGTGTACCCGGGCGGAGTAGCTTGTTGCCCATATGCGACTGTTCGTAACTCAAGGACACACGCGCAGCAAGGCACAGCAAGCAGTTCGGAAATCATCGCTGTCTTTTCGGTTCGTCTCATGACCTCAAAGTTAGATGCCGGCCGCCATAGGCCCGAACGAGCGACTTCGTCATACAGGAAGCGAAATGTAGAAAGATCATGCAGGGAGTTCAACCGGGACGGACGTGTACGTGTGTACTGTTGCACCCTCCTTGTCGCTGCTGTGTACCCTTTTCGCTGCTGCATAGTATACTCCCCTTTGAATTTTGACAAGTTTGTGTGTATCGCTTCCCGCCGTACAACCGGCTGACATGGGTGTGGATGTAAGAACTTCACCCCCCCCCTCCCCCCGGTTGGGTTCTCCGGACACTTTTCTGCTCTTGACTAGGTGGCTACGGTGGCCATCGAACACGTGTACATGTTCATGAACTCGTCGATCATCCACGACGAGATTCTCGCGCACCGGTTAGGGCTGATTCCGATCATGGCAAACCCGCGCATGTTCGAGTTTGTGGGAGATGAAGGGGGCGAGCAAGACGAGGCAAGTAGGTGTTATTGGCCTACAACAGTGTTTTGATTGCTATGCCTTATCTGTCTGCCTTGACAACACGCTCCGTAGAGGTGGATAATTTGATTGTTTGCGCAGAGGGGGCTCTCGCCTGTTCGGCTGTAGCCCGTCGGGGGGAGGTCTGGCATAGTAGGCATGCCTTCATAGGCGATGTAGCAATCGTGTATTCAGAAAGTTACGGTGCTTAGACGCGCGAGTCACTTGTGTGCATGCGCGTGCACCTCCTTACGGCATGGCCACCTCCGACAACAACCCAGAGAGCTAAAAAGTGGGCTCACGGAAGGTCTGTCGCCCACACCAAGAAGCCCACCATGTCGGGCTATCGACAACCACTCAAACTTTGCGGGTGTGACGAGCTGTTGCCTTGTACTCTTTACACGGACGCGGGATTCGCGCGCTTCGCGCGTCGTCGCGCAAGCAACCCACCTCTCTTGCCCCCCTCGCCAAGGATCCACAGACGTTCGTGTGTTACCTCTATCGAAGCTCGCCCTTTGGTTGGCTTTTGTGTCTCTTGTCGGCGCGCCGCCGTTCTTGCCCCCTCCACACCGCGCAACAGCCGACGGAGTTCAACACGTGCGTGTTCAAGCTGGAGGTGAAAAACCCGGCGGACCCGGCGGACATGCCGGACCCTATGCCGACGGGTACGAGCTATGCGGCGGGGCCGCGACGGACCATGAACGTCTTCAGGTGTGCGAACCCCGCCGTCGGCATCCAGTCAGTCGTGAACGTCAACGCGCCGATCTTGGTTTTTGGAAATCAATGATCTGCGGCTTCGGCGTTGGAGGTCATGGTGGTCGGTTCCATACTGTCGGCACCGCACCTTTGTTGGGTTCGAAACGCAGCGATAACACTTCAAATCCTCTGAGTTGCTCTCTCTGCACGGGTGTGTTTAGTACAGTATAGTACTGGCCGTACTGCACAGTATTCAGTACCTGCGAGGCATACTGGAATATGCTGGCTGTTTTAGTACAACTCTCATACTGGAATAAAAGTTCCAGTACTTTTAGTACAGCTTTCGATACTGGAATAAAAGTTTCAGTACTTTTAATACAGCTCTCGATACTGGAATAAACTGCACGCTTAGTACGGCTCTTGATACTGGAATGTACTGGCTGTTTTAGTACAGCTCTTGATACTGGAATAAAAGTTTCAGTACTTTTAGTACAGCTCCCGATACTGGAATGTACTGTCCTGACAACACGGCCCTCAGTACTGTACTGTACTGGCTGCTTTAGTACGGACTTCAATACTGGAATAAAAGTACTGCTGTACTGTACAAAACACACCCTTGGTCTCTTGTTACGTGGAAATCACGGGGGACGGGTGGAAACACCCAAGGGATTGCTAATGTCGAAAGGGTGCATCTGGGCTGAGAACTCCGGCAGATCAACAGAGCTTGCCTCGGCTGCTGGGGATCAAACACATGGGCTCAGCTTGAGTCGTCCGTTTCTGCGTGTTGAGGTCTTGGATGCAAGCGCGCGATCCGGGATGAGTTCGTTGCGCAAAGGATTGTCAGTTTTTTTGTTATTTGTGGATCGAGTCTTCTCTCCCACAAGATTCCCTCACGAGCGGTAGCCCACACTCGCGAAGGAGACGAGGGTAGGTTGATGCCTCCAGTCATTGCGGATTCGAGCATGCCTGCTTTGCTACCCACCGTGGCACGTTTCGGTACTGAGAACTGATCGCCTCTCCCATCACTTGCCGCCATGCTGATGTTGCATCCCGCCGGTCAATCGCTGTCGTCGGGCGCGTCTCTTTCTTAGCGGTGCCATGGAGTGGTGCCCCCACGGGGATCAGGTGGAGCGCTTTGAGGGGGAAGGGGGACTGCGGCCGGTGCACGATGACATCCTCATCGCCAAGCTCCGACCAGGACAGGAAATCGTCGCTGAGGTGTGTCCACGCTAGAAAACAAGTGAACGTGTCATATGTGCGGTCGAAGATTGTTGTGGGCACAGTAGTAGGTATAGCAGAGTGGATCACGGGTCCCTTGGAACCCCGCTGTATGATGCGTACGCTTTGGGTGTTCGACCCCCCCGCGCTTCGAAGCCGGATTCTCAGACTGTGCGGCCTGGAAGAAAAGAAGGGTCGTACGCACGCTCCACAGGTGGCCGCCGTACGCGCTGTGTGTGTAGGTGTCCGTGACGCCACCTTTGCGCAAGAACCCCTCCGTACACTGGTTTCTCATCCTCGGTACCTGTGGCGCCGCTTGCCATTTCCACGAAGACGGCCGCCCGGACGCGGACTCCCCCTTCTTGATGTGCCACTCGCCTTCCCCTGCTCTGCAGATGCACTGCCGGAAGGGCATCGGCAAGGACCACGCCAAGTTTTCTCCTGTTGCCACGGCGAGCTACCGATTGCTCCCAGTGGTCACTCTGAAGCAGGAGGTAGAGGGGCAAGAGGCAGAGGAGCTGGTGGCGAAATGTCCGCTGAACGTCTTCGACATCGAAGACCTGGGCGGTGCTGGGAAGCGGGCGAAGGTGCGCAAGGGATTCTGACACAAACGTTGACCGTGCATTCCAATGTTAAAGGTATTATTCGTCGTTGTCGTAAAGGGTAGATCTAGATGATATTCTCGATCGACATCTGAGGGCGGGCTCGGGGGATTCCATTGTCATTGAGCATTGGTTGTTTCATGACTCTTTTTGGGTGTTTAGTGATGGCTAATCATACGATTCCCAGTCTGTTCGATTCGTGCGAGGCATGAGGAGTCATTGACACTGAGTGCCGTGCAGTGAGCGAGGGTGGTCCCGGCCTTGCACGGCTGCAATGGCATGGGCGTATGGGTGGCATGTTCGTGTATCGTACAAGCCCAAGCATGCAGCATGATACGATATACGCGTAACGCAACACACCATACATGTTGTGTAACCCTTACCCTAACCCTAACACGCAATACTGGCGCCGCTTCCTCACGAAGAAGAGTGACCAGTCCAACCTTATCCGACCAACGTCACTGCCACTGTTTTGCCTGCGCTCGCTTGAACATGAAGGTGGCCCGCCCAAGAGATTGCACCATGTGCCGGGAGTGCATCCGGGAGCCTGGGTGGAGCGATAAGGTGTCCCTCTCACGCGTCGCAGACCACTTCATCTTCGGGATTGAGTCCGTCGGGATGCTCCCGCCAAAGGTACGTGTACGCCATGTGCCCTTTTCACTCGTGCGCACCGGTGTGATTAAGGTGGTGAGTTTAGGGTAACCATGGAAGTTGCCAGCGTTCTCATGTCGTTTGCCAACGGGTTCCCAGTAGCTGACCCTTTTGCTCCACACTCAGGCATACGGCGCCAGCGCCAATACGCAAGAATTGCAAAAACGTTTCAAAGAAGAGCCAAAGCACCAAGTAGGGATGCCCGGTGCGCGACACTCTACTCATCGCCCCCTGCGTGAACTTTTTTCGCCGCTGCTGAAGTTCCACGCGTGAAGAAATAGAACCCGAGCCTTCGGGGCAAAATTGTCTCTTGTTTTGTTTCATGAGTTTTGTTCTGGTGGCGCTGCCATGCTTCGGTTATGCAAGGTGGAATCAATCCCTATCCCAGTTCTTTGTTTTTTTTCGGGAAAATTCCCACGCACGATATGCCATGCAATGGGATGAACCGTCTCCTTGCACCACCCCTGCCGTCATTCAATCCCCCTTCGGCGTGGTTTAGGAGCTTCTCAAGGATAGCATTCAGGTCTTGCGCCAGAAGTGCGACTCCATGATTGCCGAGGTGGAGGCATTCGAGTCAGGGATTGATTTCGACGAGGCAATGCCATGACACGCCTCTACTCAACCGGTGTGGCCGCGGATTCATCCGGCCCTCGTCGGGAGCGCACAAGTTTCAAGTTTTCGATTGAAATTTTGGTCGGGACCCGGGGCGGGGGGCGGCAAGAGCTTGCAGTGCTCGGCAATCCGTTGGGTACAGTAGGAAGGGCAATATTGTTGGGAAATGATTTTACCCACGACTTCACGCCCGGTTCTTGTAGAAGGTGACACTCCGTACGTATTTGGGGAGAGCCAGGGATGCGGTAGGGGGCGGGTACCGTTAGGGGGTGAATTTTGAGATACGTGCGTCGCCCCTGAGTGTTCCGGGCATACTCGAAAATGTTCGGCACGTATATACATCTGTACACCTTCACTTCAAATCAGCGCTCACAGCACTAGTGCCGTTTACTCCAACCCGTGGTCACACAGAAGGGCCCCTCTCCAACCTCCCCTCGTGCGGTACTTTGCCTTCGATTTTTAATGCGAGAAGAGTTCAGCACTCTCTTCCCTCTGTGTACACACGAACTAGCGCTATCCATTAGGCCAGGAGCGGAAGCGAGAGAAAAACTCACTTTGTAAGGAAAGCTCGCTTACGCCGGGATTGGAACCCCTGACCTGAACTCTAGAAGGTTTCGAGGCTACCAACTAGACCACCGGGGCGACCGACTAGACCCTTATATCTGCACGAACGAATGTCTCGAGTATCTCGGGCACTTGCGCACCATCAAGCAAGGTAACAAGAAGAGGCGTGTGCTGTGCGTTAAGACGTCAGCCTCTGTGCTCTGAAGGAATTCGGTCGTCCGTGCTTTACGGCAGGCCACTCAAGCCTACTGGCTACTCTTCTGGGTCCAAGCTCCAAGTCTTGGTGCACATTTACAACGTGAATCCCGTTCACATCGGGTACAACAGCCATGGTGAAGAACACCGAAACATACATACTTCCAAGTATTGTTTTTGCAAATCCGTGGAAGGAACAAGCGGAAGACTGCTGCGAAGCTCACATATATATTTCCCGTGTTGTTTTTTGTTGTTGTTTCTCACATTAGCTCTGTAGCCCACAAAAAATGGGGAGCCCGTGGTCTCAAAACCCGGCACATAAG